CTCGTGACGCATAGAGAGTATCTCGGATACCAGCGGTGGAGCCTACCTGAACGAGGCTGGGTGCCGCGATTCAGCATGGGTTCTCAAGCTGTGATTGGAGAATTTTAGCCAATTCTGACAAGCTCGCCCGCGGCCTGGAGCCCATAGTTCGGCGGCATCCTGCAGGAGCTTGCAGCTTGCGATAGCAGTCAATGGCGCGCATGCCCAGGTGATCGAGAGAGTCTCCCGCGGCATTGGAGTCAGAGTCGTGGTCTGGCAGCTGGTCAAGCTTCGCACGCGCTTGCGGCCTCGGACTCACACCAGCTGGACCCCCACTTCCACCTACCCTCACAACCTAAATTCCCTGCGATATCGGTCGGATATGTCGAGCAATATGCTGCATTCCATGTCACCAACGACGCCAGGACTACCAGGCCTACCGCATCCGTTCCAAAGCCCCAACAGCACACACACCCGAGGCTTCAAGCGCTCCGCATCCAGCGACGACGATGAAAACGGCGACGGCGATACGCGGCCCTCGTCGTCGTCGCGGCGCAATACCGCCGTGAAGCGCGCGTGCAATGAATGTCGCCAGCAGAAGGTAAGTACTTTTTTTTTGGTATATGACGCCATAGAGGAACACGCGCCAGTTGGTGAGCTCTGTCTCAGACATGAGCGCGCCCGCTTATGCCTGGCCGCCGCCAGTACGTGTGTCCATCTACGATGGTGATTCACATCTTCCCGACATGGGCCTACCACCAACCATGAGGCTGTCAGACGTCAATGTTCCAGGTCCCCACTAACCGTGCCTTTGCAGCTCAAGTGTAACGTCCAGCAAGATCCCTTCGTCAGTTGTGCGCGATGTCAGAAGCAAAACCTGCGATGCGTAATCGAACCCAACTTCAAGCGCGTCGGAAAGCGTAATAGAAATGCCGAGATGGAGAAGGAGATGGAGTATTTGCGCGAACGTCTCGCCATGTACGAGGGCCAGTCCACGCCGAACCAGCCTGTCTTGAATGCTCCACAGCAAGCGCCAGACAACCATGGCTTCACTCCCGGCCCGGTCCCCAAAGTGGAAGACGACGCATTCCTACAGACACAGCATACACAAGTGGCAGCGACGTCTCTACTAGACCTGCGCAGCGGTTCGCCTATGATCTTCGCGCTTGGTACAGGCGAAGTGCGCCTTGGTCATGGGGAGGTTAATGAGCTCTTCGCCGAGTACTTCCAGCTATACCATCCATTCTTGCCATTCCTAGACCAAGTGCGCTCGCCAGACGAATATTACTCGCAAGATCACAAGTTGCTGTTCTGGGCAATAATTGCTGTCGCAGCTCGGCGCTATGGGCCACGGCCGTCTCTTCTTAAGGATCTCTCCAAACCGCTGAGCGATCTCATCTGGGATTCAATTAGAAACCAGCCGAACCACCATGTAGTCAAGGCGTTATGTCTACTTTGTACCTGGCCACTTCCGGCGGAGCGGACGGTGACGGATCCGACCTTCATACTATGCGGCGCCATGATGCAGGTTGCCATGCAGATTGGTTTGCATCAGCCGACACACCCAGACGATTTTTCTAGGACAAAGATGCAGCTGCGGCGCGAGGATATACATGATCGGTTGCGCACATGGGCAGTGTGCAACATTGTTGCTCAAACGTGAGTTCGGTGCCATTCAAATGTATACCGCAAAGGCTAACGTGCTATAGTGTGTCTACAGGAAACGGACAGCCTTCCATAACGCTTTACGATTCGACGCTAGAGTTCAAGGTGGACGATGAAGAGCACATGCGCATAATACCACCAACGCTGTTTGTCCGCTTGCGCCAGGAAATGGCGGCAAGCAGGATCAATAAGCTTCTATACTCTTCCAACAGCCACCGCTTTGCGGAAGGCGCGGCGATAAGCTACATGAGCCTTGAAGCCGATCGCCTGAAAGAAGAGCGCGTGAAGGAAGAGAATAGCTCCCTTGACGGAGTGGACAGTGGTATGTCTAACGACCTCAGCCATACTCAATTATCTCTGACTTTTTGAACAGGCTTGGAAGAACTATATCACTATGCAGTTGCACTACACCTCCATCTATACTCATTCTTCAGTCCGGAACTTCGCCTCGAGCGACGAGACGATCTTGTCGCACTATACTTTGCTGCAACGGCCTACCTCGAGCGCGTATTCAAACTGCAGCGTGAGGGAAGGCTACTCTATGTTCCGTACTACGTCATGCAAATGGCTCTTGCAGCCGGATTTGCTTTGCTGAAGCTCCTTAATTCAGACTTCGCCAGCAAATTGCCCGCAGACAAAGGTCGCCAGTTCGTCCTACAAACTGTGGATGCGCTGAGGAAGTCCAAAGTGTGGTCAAACGATCTCCTGGATCGATTTGCCGAAGTTTTGGCGCAGCTATGGAAGGAGAGTTCTCGTGGACGCAGCCTACACAGCCTCTCACAATCACCGTCTCTCAGCAATTCAGGGATGAATTCCATGTTCAACCACCACAACCAGCAGCAGCATCAGCAACAGAGCCAAAGACGAGGTAGTATCGGTATGCTAGATGATCCTCTTGGTCTCATCATTCGCAGTCGCATGAGCATGAGTGTGGTGTTCGATTGCGCATGGCGCTGGCGAGAGGCGCAGGTCAGCGGTGCTGCGGAACAACTCGAAAATACGGTTATGACGAACCCCACCAACCCAGACTCATCTAGTAACTCTACACCACCCCCTGGCGTCGTTGAGAACCCAGCCCATACCCTTCCGAACTTCAATCCGCACATCAACACTTTAAGTATGCCTCTTCAGCTGACAAACGGCATGGCTAGCGCGAACAGTTTCGAGATGTTCGATTCTGTATCGTGGTTGTTGGATACCCAGCCAGATTGGACGTACGGTAGCGGTAATTTTGGAAACGACTTTGGTGTCTAAACGGCTCAACGTTGTCATTTTCTGTCGGGTAAACCGCGATCATTTCAATCTTCTTAGTGCTATTGGGATAGGCCATTGTCCAGTTTGCAATTTGCCGTTGTATTAGCGTGGCGTTTGGGAGTCCTCCGTAGAGATCTTACTATCACTATCAACTTTTGTTGCTTTTTGCCAATCTCCGGTACGCCTGGAAAGGTATCCTACAAGTATTCGCTATGACTTTTAGCAAGAGAGTAAAAATTGTGACCTACATATTTCCCAGCGTATATTCTTAATGTTAGACACGGTTCCGTTTTTCCATCTTCATCGTAATACTTTATACAATGAGGTTTCTTGTTTTCGATAGAATAACTGACATAGATTACATCCTCAAGGCAAACATGGGATACCCTATCATGTCGTAACTCCCTCAGCATACTCCACTTGCGCTTTCTTCGACATTCCGTAGCAACTACGAACGACCGCTTATCTCAGAACAGCGTCTTACCTACCGCATTATCACATCCTCGCCGTCCTTCATCCACAAGACCGAACCTTCATACAACCATGTCCTCCACGTCGTCTCCTCCATTCTCTGCTGTTACTACTCCTCACAAGCACCAACTCAAGGCCCTGAAGGCCCACATCATAATCCACATGCTTGTACTCAGCACCGTCGTTTTCCTTGTCATGCAGCTCATATCGCACACAACTGCCATAGGAGACATCGGGTCTTATGTCATGCCGTGGGCTTGGGAAGAGGCGTTCCTTGGACAATTGTTCGATAACACAGATATGTTCAGGTGGATAGCTGTCTATCTGTTTGTGAGTCTGCGAGCATGTTGGGTAACGAAATGGGGAGTAAAGCCTGCAATAAGATGAGAACGGGAGACTGAATGCTCAGAGACTATGGGTGTTGACATCTCGATAGGTATCGCTCGATGGGTTGCATGCACTGTTATGCATAGGGTGGTATGCTGACCAGTTACACCCGGTACGAAGGAGAAGGGATGTGGGGAGGAGGCGCAGGGCTACCAAAACATGGGTGGAAAGTACACAGCAGAACATTGAAGCATGGTGCCAACGACATCTTGGATCGTTTGGAACAAGAAATGGGAAAGAAGATTCGCGAAAACCCACACACGATACGGAACGCCGTTCAGCAACACCACAGCATGTACCCCAAAACCGCACATCTGTGAACTGGATAGAGAGCTTGGACAACACGCCATCACCACCTTGTCCCCTCGACCCACACACATACCATCCCCTCCTACGTCCAACCTATACATCGCTAACGCGCCATATCCTCCTCACCGTCTGGGATGTAATCGTGCTCTTGACCGTCACTTTCCATGTCTACACTTATGCGGCAAACATCCGCCCCAGCTTCGCTTTTTGCGACGAACACGATTACCCTCTCTGGTATTTCTATGATCAGCCAGCTACATTGCGGCAGCGCTGTACCCGCATCAATTGGCGTATACACAGCGCTGGGGGTTGTTCGGCAACTGGCGCGATGATACTCGCTTTGTGGCATTTCTGCGCACTCATGAGCAGGCTACGGGCCGTTCTAGACGGGAGAGTTTTGAGAAGGCTGGAGGAGAAGACATTGAAGGATTTCAGATCCAAGTTACGTGCGAAAAGGGAAGGTGATAATGATGTGGATTTTGGTATGGCGGGTTGGCAATGTCCACCAAGAGATGTGGATGTAAGGTCAAGGCCGGCTAGGAGAAGTGTTGAGTCTGGGACTTTGACTGGGACAGAAGTGACATCGAGGCATCTACCCACTGTGAGTCAAGAGGAGTTGGGAATTGGGCTAGGGCGGAGAAGAAAGTGGGGAAGGGAAAGAAACAATGATACAAGTAGCAATAGTGGTAGAGACAAAGATATGGGGAGTAGCAAGTGGAGCTGGAGGAGTGAGGGATTTCTAGAATGTTTGGTTTGACCGTGATTTTAGTAATTTATCTTGGAAAAAAAGGTGTTCTTCAAACAATATTAAGAGACAAACCAAATGGAAAGCTGGAAATCAGTGAATTGACGCCATAATCTCAATAGTCTATATCGACCGGTATCTCTTTAAGCCTTAATATCCAAACGCCAAATTATGCCAAACAGCGCTAAAATCAATGTCCACATCCACACGACTCGCCATGCACTACACCACTGTCACCTCTCTTCTTGAAATCTCCCCCATAGCTAGCCAGATGGGTCTGGCCATCCAGTCTTTGCCCATCCTCAGGCACTTTACCCATCCAGCTGACCTCTGTGCCGTTCACGTCGAGTACCGTCAACCCAGTACCCTTTTCTCTGAGCTCCTTGGTGACTGATTCGACATCCACACCCAAATAGTCTCGCAAAAAGTCCCCGACCTCAGTGTTCTCGTGGTTACCCACCAGTGCCATGGCAGCCTTGGGGTCAGATGAATAGATGTTAACGTCCGCGCCGCTGTGGCCGTGGGTTGACCAGCCAGTCTGTGAACGACGGGATACCATGTCTGCGTATTGATACAAAGCTGTAGCAGGTTCGGCGACAAGGTCAGAGACTTCCTTGTCGGTGTAGTCGTAGATGCCGAGACCGGATGTGATCGATTCGCGCACAAAATCAGTCGTCTCATCGGCAGATGGGTCGGTAAGCAGATGCTTTGTATAATCGAGAGCGAGCCGCTCAGCGGAATGGGAGGCATTTGCGAGGGGAGAGGGGTACCAGAGGTATTCGGGGTAAGACGCGTGGAGCTCTGCTGATTGTTAGCAATGGTTACTACCAAAGGGGTGGACAGAACATACGGCGAGCAGCAGCCAGACCGCCAGTCTCGTGATCCGATGTCGAGACCATGACCGTCTGCGTTTCCTCGTTCTTGATGAAATCCAGCACACTTGTAAAGGCCCTGTCATAGGCGAGGACCTCGTGTACCTGAGCAGCAGGGTCGTTGTGGTGGCCTGCGTGGTCGATCCTGGAGCCTTCAATCATGAGGAAGAAGCCCTTGTCGCTATCCCTCGTCGCATCACTGAGCGCCTTCATAGCAGCCTCAGCCATCTCGTGCAAGCTCGGGTAGATGTCGTTCTCGTTGCGGCGGTCGATTTCATACGGGATGTCAGTTTCGGCGAAGAGTCCCAACATTGGCAGGTCGAGACTGGCTCCTCCCTTGAGGCTGTCAAAGCCCGCGCGGTCAGAGATGTAGTTGAATCCATTCTTCTTGGCCAAGTCCACAATGTCCCTATCATCCGCGCGACAGCTGGAGTCGACTGTCGAGTTGGGCAGGAAGTGGCATCGTCCGCCTCCGAACATCAGATCGACGACGCGGCCAAGGGGGTAGTCTCCGACCATCTGTTCTGCAATACGGTCCTCCTCTGATCGCATGTTGACGTGAGCCGCAAAGCAGGCGGGTGTCGCATCTGTGATCCTCGTAGTAACAACAAGACCCGTCATGTATCCAGCCTTCTTGGCCGCTTCCAGCACTGTTCCGCATGGCTCGTGGTCGGGTGTGACGGAGATGGCGCCGTTGTAGCTCTTCTGTGCACATGAGAAAGCCGTCGCGCCCGCCGCTGAATCGGTAATGAGAGACGAGGCAGAACGGGTCCGCGACTGTCCGATGAGGTGCTGATCGATAACGAGCTGCTCGTTGAAAGGCGCGCCGTTCTTGTATTGCATGAAAGATCGCGTAAGTGATAGCGAGGTAGGACCCATGCCATCCGAAACCATGAAGATGAGGTTCTTCTTTCCGCTCGCATGTGAAGTCTTGGAGTCGGAACCTGCCCGTTGGAAGATGACGGCGAGTACGATAACGGCTGCCGTTGCGATGACAGCCCAGACAAACAGACCTATCTCCCTCCAGAACTTCCAAGATCGCGGTCCTTCTTTCTCCATGCGCGCTGTTCGCTGGCCTGTGAGCAGGGCATCTTCCTCTGCGATATCACGGTCACCGCTGATGTCCGAAGACGTGCGGTTCGAGAGGAGAGGCCGGGTGCCAGACATGATCTTGGATGCAAGAAAGGGAAGCTAGTTGTGGTGAAAGGCAAATGCTGTAGGCAGACTAAAAGAGTGTCGGCCTGTCTCAAAGGAACATGGCGTTGATGGTGGAGTCAAACAGTCGATCCGTCACTCACTCGGGTGGCCACGAGATGTCGCGCCGGCTGATCGTCATGAGGGTGGAACGCTTGCGGGAACGTGCGTCTTGGCGCTAGGAATAGTATCATCTGAACTTGGGGCATGACTGCTCATCCAGACGCTACCAAAAGCTACTCAGTATTGCCTCACGTGGAAGTTTGCTAATGTGATGCACGTCGAGGAAATCGGTGTTTTTGGTACAGAAGGAGACTGCTCCGCCTTTCACATGTCAAGCAAAGGTAGCCTCAATCACTCTTCCATCCCCACCCCACAATCCCGTCGAACTCCATGCCCACTTCACCGTCCTCTCCAATCTCGTTTTCTACGATCCCCTTCATAGCATCACTCAACTCCTCCAAGACACCATCCCGTTCTTTTTCCCACCATATCTTTGCCATAAATTGTAGCGGAAACTGCATGCTCTCTATGAAAACCTTGGGCGTCCCAGCACGTATGCTCTCCTTCTGCGTCGATGTGTCTGCTCGCTGTAGCCCCGCAGCTTCAAGACGTTGTGCCACGTAGGATTCGGCAGCCCAGGGTCCACAGAGTTTCTCCTGAATCTCCTTATGCGAAGGGGGATAAGGCTGCGGTGCGTCCATGAGCGCGATGCTGCGAGTGAGGAGACTATGCCAGGGCATGGCAGACCATGTCGCTACTGCTATGAAGCCACCTGGGCGTAGGAGAGAACACAAGTGCGAGAGTGTCTGTTCCGGGAGCATGTTCAGAGCGAATGTGACAAATATGTGCGTGAACGAGGACTTGGGTAGAGCCTGTGTGAAGTCGCCCTTCAAGAAAGCGTTAGTATCGGGGACAATGCTGAGGCTTGTACAAGGAAAAGGAACCTCACGTTTCCATCTACAATTTTCGTCTCCAGCCCCATCCATCCTTGCTTCTCTCCTCGCGCTTTTAAATATTCCAACATCGGCGGGCTGATATCAGCGCCTAGTACTTTCAGCTGTCCCCATCTTTCCTTCGGTATAGTGTCATAAAGTTTCTGTACTACGACTCCAGTTCCGCAAGCAAAGTCGAGAACATTGGCCTCAGCTCCTGAGTCCAGATGCGCAACTATCCCGGATTGTCCGACGAGGGTTTTGGCATAAGGGCCGGTAGCTTTCTCGGCGTTCTTGTACCTTTGCGCGGCTTCGGCTTCAAGAAAGTTGGCCATGTTGGTGTTCGATGGTGAAAAGTTAAGTACCCGGCAGTGAAAGGTCTCAAATGGGTGTTTGGGCTTGAGGCTTGATAGAAGTTGGTGTGCTATGTGTCGAGTACTGAATATGGGCGCATGCATCTTATGTAAGTGCGGTTCTTCAACATTGTTTCGTGCGGTCGCAGTCTGAGCCTTGCTGTTTAGGCCCAATGTCAGCCAGCAGGCGGACGAATACCTTCGATTGTCTCACTCTTGGTTCTCGACAAATGTCTCCGAGGGAAGATCTTCATCATCTCGGAGACATTGTGCGACAGACTATCGGAGAGTTAGAGCATCAGGCACGGATCTCTGAATAAATGTCTGCGAAAGCGACCAGGCATCTGACACAAGTCATCTTGAAGATCTAGAGGTCAAATAGGAAGGTGTTGGTAAAAATTGTATTTGAATAGATGGGTATACCTTTCCGATCCTCTATGCAAATGCTGACAACCAGAACTCCGCGCTATGCATTTTGAGTGAAGCTCGTAAGCTTACTGTGTAGACGGCTTAACTTTGCCGGCTAAACCCTCATGGTCTCATGTGTTATGAAATGACTATATCTCCTCAGATGTGGTCTCTAGCCATTGGCCAAAATAGACGCAGGTTCTTGCTGATATCTCACCCTCATCCCCGCAAAGATCAAAGACGGGGCAGTTACCACATGGTGCATCAACAAAACCGTTGTAGACCTTGGTATCGGTGGCTCGTAACACTGTTCGATAATTGGTACCAGATATCTTCTCGAGCCGGTCGTCAAGTACCATCATCTCCAACAATTGTTCCATGTCGTCCTCACGTACAGTCTTGCCGCGCAGAATCTCCTTTGAGTTAAGCCATTGGGCTACAGAGGCAGCTGTTGGGTACTGCGGGTTATGTCGATGAACGAGCTTGGATGTGTTTGGGTCTCTAGATGGGTTGTAGGGCTTCACGGCGGGCGCTTCCTCTATATCCCGTACGGCTCCCAATACTTCGGCCTTCTTTTGGGCGATAGCGGCCGTCCTGTCGCCTGTTATCTCATAGTCGTTCCAATTTCCTGGTACCCTGATGCAAGTCTCGTTCTCCACATGCTGGGCGACGATGCCCGATATTGTGTCGATCAGCGCAGTGTCAAAGTCACCCTCGGATTGCCATGGTCCACCTGCAATATCTTCGGATGGCTTCAGATGCTTCAACAGGTACATTTTCCTATTCGGAAACTTGACACTCATGACTGACTGCACCAAGTCCTTCGATTCCAAGCTTTTGAGGCATTTTGTAAGGGTCTGTTGAGTGACGTTGGTTTTGGCTCGGAGGGCTTTGGACCAGATGCCGTCAGCCTGCACTTGATCGATGTGGTGGTAGAGGAGACGCTCGTCGGGTGTAAGTCGTCGCAGTCTGGAGGACACATGCTCGTCAGAAGAATTCAGGTACGCCAAATTGTACAGAATTACACATACTTGTCGGCGTCTTCTCTTGACCGTAGCTTCCAGCATGGGTCGCCCTCAAATGTCATAAGCTTCAAGAGATGTCGGTCACATAGCTCTTGCAACAGCACTGTTAGCTGCGCCATAGTCTCAGCCACCTGCATGTTTGAGAGATCGCGCTGGAAGAAAATCTGGCCCGCAGGCCGCTGCGCGCATTTCTCGTAGAGGGCATCAGCGGGGCTGACAACTTCGTTGACGGCCGTCTCGACGGGTTCCTCTTTCGGTGCTGGCGAGGGTGCGGCTACTGAAGCCATGGTGTGCGTTTTTCGGCGAACGCGGTGTCGGCTGTGGATTATACGAGTATCGCAAGTTGTCGCGAGTGAGCTCAAGTCGCGACATGTGAATCACCAAAAGTTTTGAGTGGGGACCCCAACCAAGAACGCCCAATTACGCTTCTGTGGCGCAACTATCCGCTAATGGTACCCCATCACCAAAGCTTACTCCCAGTCACGACTCCTACGTGTCTGTGGCTCCAGGATCATCGCAGCCCTACGCCTCTCATGGCTCGTCCTCCGTCTGGCAGCATTGTCCCCCTGTTGCCAATGGGATGTTAATGCGGGGAACGTCAGCCCTTGACCTCTTCGCGTCGCGTCGCGCCGCTTACCCCAGACTAAACATCATATATCAATGAATTGCTCTGTATCGATATGCATACGAGGGAGCCGCCAATGTCACAGTCACGCGGGTCCCAGCATCCACTGTGCCGGCATCCACCATCGCATTGATCAACGTGTCGCGACGTTCAAATAGCGCGAGCGGATTGGAAATGGGCTCTTGAGATTCTGGGTAGCTGAAACAGAACATCAGAGTCCAGACCCCGCATCTATGTCCGGCTAGATCAGCAGTATAACCCGGTTAACGACTGTCGAAGGCGGACCGGACACATTAGGTACTGCACGCGGGAAACGTTAGACGATCATGCATTCGAGCACTCGGGCATCATGCAACCACGGACTTTGGAATAGATTGCTGTGCAGTCAGCATTGCATACTCACTACGTACAGAAGCCTGCTGGACAGTTACAAGGCGTACATGCTGTAAGACCTCATAGCTAGTAGTCTACAGGGTTCCTTCTCACAAGAGCAGGCCCACGGGACTTCCGGATACCGTCACCCGGACGCAGTCCAGGAGTATCTTCTCGATACACTCAGCCTCTACCGACTACCCCCGAGGCGAGAGCCTCCGCTTGTTGACGCCAAAGCACGTGGATCTAGCTTGCGCGTAACATTCTGGACCCATGTAGACGCTCGAAATACCAATTGACATAGGGCGACTTGTCCCCATGTAGACAAGTAGATCTTTACTCCGGATTCCGAAAAGATGGCGCATACACGACAGTGTCTCCCGGCTATCTGGAACCTGCCTCACCAGGCATTTGCTCCACATGGCTCTGGGGAACCCCGGATTTACAACCCATGATTCGTGAGCGACTCCTGTATGATAAAGACAACCCCAGAGCCCAGTGTGGTTGCACAACTTAGTCTCTGCGTTTCCTGCGCACCCTTCCACACAGTCTCGTAACATCAAGCCAGAGTCACTGCAAGATGGCTGAAGAGAAGCAGTATCGTGAAGAGGTCACGACTGATCCCAGCCTCACCCATCAACACACCGCGAGCAGTCATGGCCTTCACCATGACCATGTCGCACAAGAAGCCCTTGGTGGTCACACCGCTGATCTGGGCAAGTCATATTTCACATCCATCAACTTTATTGGCACTGTAGTGGTAAGTCCACCATAACCATCGTCAAGAAATATGCTTACAGTCGATTAAGGCAACGTGTCTAGCGCAGATTTCTGGGTATGTGCTTTCTCCGAGCGGAATTTACGAAGAATCCGCTAAAAAATGTCCAGTTACCTAGGGTGGGTTCTTCCTGCGAATACACTGAGTCTCATCAACGCCGCGATTGGACCATCATCGGATATCATCTGGGTCGGCATCTCGTGGACGGCTGGATTTGCCATTGGTTTCACCCTCGTCGGTCGTCTGTCGGACATCTTCGGTCGTAGATGGTTCTTCATCTGCTCTTCAATACTTGGTCTGGTCGGAAATATCATAGGGGCAAGCGCACAAAGCATCAACATGCTGATCGTATGTTCTGGCAACCATGGGATCTGTAGACGATGCTGACCCCCTCTTAGGCAACAAACTCCATTAATGGACTCGCCGCAGCCGGCCAACTTTCGTTCCATATTATCCTTGGCGAGCTTGTTCCCAACTCCCTGAGAGGTCCTGTGAACGCTTTCGTGCTTTCGACTTCCGTCCCTTTCGCTGTATTCGGACCGCCAGTAGCAAGATCCCTCTACCAGACCACTGAGTTACAATGGAGATGGTGCTACATCCTCGGATGCATTGTCAACGTACTGGCAATTGTTTTATACTTCTTCTTCTACTTCCCACCAACATATGTAAGGATCTCCAAGTTGAACATACGTACAGTGGATTAACCATACTAGGAAATGCTCCACGTAGGCGGCAAATCGAAATTGAAACAACTCAAAACGCTTGACTGGATGGGTATCGTCTTGTTCTCAACTGGTCTTGTCGTGTTCCTGATTGGCATGAACTGGGGCGGGTCAGCATACCCATGGAAGAGTGGACACGTACTGGGAGCACTCTTTGCTGGATTTGGTACTCTAGTCGCATTCTGCTTTTGGGAAGCTTTTGCCCCGGGACTAGAGTACCCCCTCATTCCTTTACGACTCTTCAGAAACATTCAGTATGATGCCAATGTGGCTTGTGCTAGTCTGGCAGCCATCGTATACTACGCGAACTCCATCATCTGGCCAACGATGGTCTCTTCGCTCTTCACCACAGATATCACCAAGATCGGATGGCTTTCGGTAGGTCTACAAATGTCTCCACCGAATGATTATCGCTGCTAACGACATCTAGTGCGCTGTTGGTGGTGGCCTTCTCCTTGGACAAATCCTTGGAGGCGCTGGTGTGCGCTACCTTCCGCGAATGAAGATCCAGATGACTGTCGCGGCAGTCATCACTACAGCTTTTGTCGCCGCTGTCGCTGCTTCGAATGAAACGACAGAAGACCGCACGACCGCATTACTTTTGATCGGTACCATTGCTGCAGGCTACATCGAGAACCTCACACTTTCCAGTACAGCCTATCTCTGGGATCCTGCCGATATTGGTCTGGTGACTGGTGTCATGGGTGCTATCCGAACTGGTCTTTCTGCGATAGCTACGAGCATGTACTCATCGATACTGGCCACTGAATCAGCCAAGTATATTCCCCAAAAGGTCATGCCGGCTGCGCTAGCTGCGGGTCTTCCTGAAACGTCGCTCCCCGCGCTGTTAACTAGTATCACATTGGGTGATTTCAGCGCTGTACCTGGTATCTCACCTGCCATCATCGCAGCAACAAGTCAAGCTGTGAAGAGCGCATACGCACTGTCGTTCCGAACTGTATACCTCTGTACACTCCCTTTTGGCGTACTTCTTATTGTTGCAGCTTTGCTCTCGCCTAATGTGGAACAGTATCTTACAGATGAGGTTGCGAGGAAGATGCATGCCAGGGGCGATGAAAAGGGTGACCAGGCTATGATGAAGGAGGTTGCCGATGCATAGAGTATGGATCGTTTAATTAAGACTTCGATAGAATCAGGTTTGGTGTATTCCGGTTGAATAGCACGATGCACTTCTCCATAAGAACCAACTATGAGTCAATCTTTGCTGAGATGTATAAGAGCAAATGGGACAACCAGCTCATCTACTAATGCTGTGATCGCCGAAGCCGCAGCCTATCCTAGGAGCATGACATCTACACGACGTGTCTGTACAACCTGGAAGATTTGAAGTCCTCAGCCCACCGACCGGAAATGGTTAGCGTGGCCAACGAAGCAGGCGCTCTAGATGCCATCAGCTTCGATACTTAGGCGGTAGGTACCTCTGATACAATAGCAAGACAACTGGAAAGAGTGAAAGCTCGAATGAAGATGTCCATACCAGATTCGGAAAGCGTACAGCAATATAACAAACATTTCATCCCTCTCGAATCAAATCCAGACGTCTTCACCGAGCTTGCGCATAAGCTCGGTTTATCCGCTTCATTGGGCTTCCAAGATGTGCTCTCTATAGACGACCCGGAGCTACTTGGATTTCTTCCACGTCCAGCCCTCGCATTGATCCTGGTGTTTCCGACGACGGAGGCGTATGAGAAGAGAGCTCAGGATGAGGATGCCAAGCTCGAGGAGTTCCACAGCTCTGGCGATGTTGTATTCTTCAAACAGACCATTAACAATGCATGCGGTCTTTATGCAATCTTACATGCTATCTGTAATAGCGAAGCGCGGCAGAAGATCGGTATGATAGTTGTGAGCCCCTTTCTCTACTGGGGGCGCTACTGAAATTGGTTAGATGAGGTCTCGATCATCGCTCGATTACTGGATGCTAGTCTAGCACCTGATATAGACGGATTGGCCCAGGCATTAGAGGAAAACAAGGCGTTGGAAGTTGCATATGCTGGCGTAGCAAGCAAAGGCGATACTGAGGCGCCTCTGAATGCGGAAGACGAGGTGGAATACCACTATATCGCTTTTGCCAAATCGTCCAAAGACAACCATCTATACCAATTCGACGGCGACCGCAAGTGTCCTCTAGATCTAGGGGCGCTCACAGCAGACGAAGACGTTCTCTCTGAGAGATGTCTCAGCGTCATTCGTGGTATGATGGCAAGAGAGGACGAGAATCCCAACTTCAGTTTGATGGCTCTGACAGAGCATGCAGAGATGTAGGTAGCCAAGGAGTCACACTCTTCGTAGGATTTCTCCGAAGAGCGAGGAAGTGTGAACTATGAAGGACCTTTTTATTTGTTCTTGCAACGAACTTCGTCAGACGAAGAATGCACGTACTTCAGTACAGCCGCATACACCACAGCTAAGCAAGACGCAAAGATGTGGGATGCTCCCCGAAGGGACTTGTAAAAGTGTCGAAGACTCAAGTGGCTGGTGTGCGGGTTGCGTCCTATGATGATGATGATGATGATGATGATGACGATGTATACGAAGCTAGCATAACATGCATTTGTATCAGTTCACCTCGCATTAGAGGTTGTTGATGATGTCTGTCATTGTGCCGTCGCGAGAGTGAAACGGCATTCTGGCGAAGAAAAGTTAACATGTTCGCCGCATGGACCACCGCGCTAGGCTAGCTCTCCAGGAATCGCGAGCCCTGAGCTTCACTTCCACCGACCGCGATCGCGACTACATCCTTCCCCACTTCACCCATTCCGATCGCGAAGATGACGAAGAAACGCAGAAGATATCCAGATTTAAACCAGAAGCTCGAGGTACGAGATGTGCATAAAAGTTGTCCATGGAATGCAAGCTGACCTCTATAGCGACCATGGTGTTACTACTGCGAGCGCGACTTCGACGACCTTAAGATTCTCATCTCTCACCAAAAGGCCAAACATTTCAAATGCGACCGCTGTGGAAGACGGTTAAATACCGCTGGAGGTACGCACCAGCCGACTCAAGGCCTCATGTGTTAGAGCGATACTAACACCTGCTCAGGTCTCTCCGTGCATATGAACCAAGTCCACAAGGAGACGCTCACCCACGTTGAGAATGCCAACCCCGGACGTCAAGGTCTTGATCTCGAGATCTTCGGTATGGAAGGTGTACCCGCCGAGATAATAGATCAACACAACCAGCAAGTCACACAGGCACATTTCGCTGAAGAGCAAGAACGCGCGCGAATCACCGGAAATCCCATGCGTGGAGCGTACGTCAATGGACAAGCAGCGCCAAATAAGAGGCCGAAGATCAATGAGAGTCTGGAGGAGATTGAGGAGAGGGCAGCCAAGTTCCGAGAGGATCGAAAGAACGGCGTTCTACCTGCGCCGGTGGAGCCTGTGCAGAACGCTGTACGTACTCGAGCATCTGAGCATGAAGAAAACACCTGGCTAACACGTATACAGACGCCCCCAGTTGCTCAAAGCCCGTACGGCGTGCCACCTCCTGGCGCGCCTGTGGCCTTTCCACCTAGTGCGTCCGCATACCCCCCGCAAGGCGTCCCGCAACCCTTCTCACCTGCCAACGGCGCCATACCCGCACGCCCTGGCAGCATACCGGGCCAGCCTGGCGCGTTACCTCCTCGGCCTGGTTTCGGTGCTCCACCGCCTGGTGCCTATCCACCAGGTCAGAACGGCGACATCTCCAACTCTGTCGATGATCTGATCAATGAGGTGACAAAAGAGGCCGCGCCCAAGGAAGAGAAGAAGAGCAAAAAGGACAAGAACCAGCGACTCATCTTCTTTGCGGAGACAACAAGTCCAGAGGAGAAGATGGCTGCTTTGCCGAGGTTTGCGGAGTTTATGCGGACATGATGAAATCAGGGGCAATTTGCTGTGTAAACCGAGAGAACGCCAAGTCGCGATTACGCATGTTGGCAGTTCTGCTAAAGAGCCTTGAGGCTGGCGCAAGGGCAAGAGCCCACAGATGCCGCACGACGCAGGACGGACCGCATCAATCAAGGCGCTGGGGCGCGGAAAAGAGTGGCTTTGCATATAGTATCTATCTAAGAGCGATCAACTCACGAAACGAGCAAGACCGAGCCCACGTCTGGATTCACCAAGGATGAGTATGATGATAGCTCATTGACATTGAATAGCACAGCACAATGAAGCAAACAAGCTTGGAAAATAAGGGTATCTTGCAAATCAACGCATCAAGTAATTATACAGCAATCCAGTCGTGCAGCCTAACCAAACCCTACCATGTTTTATTGGTCGTAAAAGCCCAATTCCTCGCCCTCTTCTTCCTCATCCTCGTCGTACTCTTCGCTCTGCTCATCATCACTGCTTTGATCCTCACTAGCACGTGCCCATTCGGAGCTCTCGGTGAACAGCGACTCGCCAAGATCCAGTCCGCGTGTCTGAGTAGTTCCCATAATGCCTTGTTCCTCCTGCGTCACATCGGTGACGTCTTCTTGCTCAGGCATAGGATCGACTTGCCTCAGCAAAGCTTTCTCATCCAACTCATTGTCGTCATCGTTGTGGCTAGTAGCGAAGCCAACAGACTTTGCTGTACTCGGTCGTTCGTGCACTTCAGTATGCTCGACCCGACGGGGCTGTTCCTCGATGATGTCGCCGTTCCAGGGTCGGCATTCCTTGACTGTCTCGCCGCAGCGTAGACATGTCCAGCCTTCGCCCTCTTCATTTGCGATTCGTTGCGCAATGCATGCGAAACAATATATACAGCCGCATGGGATGGCTTCATATGGGTTGGTGATGTCTGTTGTTGCAGAGCCGACGACGCCGCCGCCACCGGCTGAGGAGGTGAGGATATCAGCTTCGCTGGCGGTTGTTGGGTTCTGGTCGCGGTAGCAGATTGCGCAGGTCCGTTCAGGTAGGAAGGCTAGTTCACCGGCGGCCTTGGCCTCTTCCTCTCCTTCATCGTTGTTGGGCTTCGAGCGGCCGAGAAGGGAGAGTACGGTTGTTCGCAGTTTCTTGAATGTGCGGCTCAGAATGCGACGCCAGCGGGAGATGCCGACGAGTGGGAGGAGGAAGAGGAGGAACTCGGTGAAGGCGTGCCATACAAGTTGGCGATTAAGGTACTCGAAACTGACTTCGCGTGATGTCATGTGCGATGTCGGTGTCAGACGTAGCCGGAGGAGGCGATCTGTAATGGTCCTATACCGACCGTCGACGAGGAAGACTAGGAAACTGGCAAGACCGAGGACGTCATGCGCGTTTCCTGCCAGTTCACTCAAGCGCGCCAGAAGCTTCAACCTTGGGCTCTCAGGTCGAGTATAGTCCTCAGACGCAGATAAAAGGTACTCTTCCCATTTTGTCCACGCATACCTTCCTCCCACTGTGACAGCTCCATAGGCGACCTTTTGCCACGGCTTCGGCGGCGGACGGTTGGGCGCACTACTCCGCGCATCGGTATACCTCAGCCCCTGTAGATGCGCGCCATAACTCGCATTCTGATCCCAAATGCTCAACTTCCATAGCACGGCCCTCAATGCCAGCAATATTTCAGCCGAGTAGTTGTCTGTAATATGGCTTCCAAAGTATTTCAAGCCTTCGCCAACCTGATCCTTCATCAGCGTCAGGAGTTCTTCGTCGAGCAGTTCGGCATCGACCTGGCCGACGCGGAACTCTGGTCGTGTCCCCGATCGACCTTTTATCGCGTCCCAGATGCTGAATCCCGTGGTGGACAGGCTGCTGAAGGGGAAGGGCAGGCGCGACAGGGCGCGTTGTGCGGTTGATGGCGGAGGCTCATGGTGATTCCGCTGTTGAAGGGCGCGTTGAGCGCGGCGGGCTGCTATGCGTTGCTGGGCGGCGGCGAAGTCTGCGGAGGGCATTTGGGAGCATTGGGAGGCGGCGACGTGCAGGCAGAGCGGCTGAGGTTATGGACGCCGTTGGGCAATGGTGCGAGATGTGGATGCAGCGTGATGATAGCGTGATGGAGAGACCGACCAGACTGGAGTTGCGACGGACCGAGGTTGGCTGGGGAAGTAGCCGACGCACGCGACGCCTTCTCCAGACAAGCCAGGACCATGTCTGGGGACGCCATGACAATGCGTCTCTAACGGGGCAACCCCAAGTGTACGTCGGATAGACGGTATGCAATTAACGGTTCCAAGTTCGGCTTGTGTCAATTGCCAAAACGCTGTCACCCAACGTCGCCGTTTCGTGTCTCGGGGGTCCGAGCTGTGACGTGGGGAGCTTCTCGAATTTGTTTCCTCTAAACACCAAGATAGTTTTCCCAAACAAGACTTGCCGCATACTGGTCACAGCCTGGGTGAGCAGGCTTCATATTGTTCACTCTCACCGTGAATCGCATCCACCCAGCTACTCACCGCTTCCTTTCCGTGTCTACAACTTCACCTACTTGCGACTGCCCCACTACCGCAGCACTTGAAGTGTCCACGCCATAGGATGAGTAACGAATTCAGCGTCGAGGTGCCGGGAGAGGCGAATCCTCTGACTGAGAATATCCTGTTCCATGTCTTGCGCTCTGCGTCTTCGGCGGACCAGACTCAGGTTCAGTCAGGCACCAAGCAACTCCAGCAGTGGGAGAAGGCCCAGGGTTACTACCCTCTACTACAGACGGTGTTTCTGGACCAGTCCCTTCCACTAGAAGTCCGCTATCTCGCCATCATCCAGCTTAAGAATGGCATCGACAAGTACTGGCGCAAGACAGCCACCAAGTACGTCTCCATACCATGTCGCATCAACACAGAGTCTGACATGGGCGTAGCGCAGTGAGCAAAGAAGACAAGGCTACCATACGAGCCCGCCTACTCGAGAGTGCCGTCAACGAAGCCGACCACCGCCTAGCACTACAGAATGCTTTGGTAGTCGCCAAGATTGTGCGCTTCGAGTTCCCCAATGACTGGTGAGTCTGGACAAGAGTATGACACTCCCTACTCTAATATCGCCCAGGCCTGAGCTTTTCCAACAACTACTCCATATCCTCCGCGCCTCGACCGATCCGAACGCTTACCGACTACAACTTCCTCGCGCTCTTCTCGTCTTACTATACATTGTCAAGGAATTATCAACTGGGCGACTTCTAAGGACACGGCAAAGCTTACAGACGGTTGCACCAGAAATTTTCAACGTATTAGGCACCATCTATGTGAACAAGGTACAAACATGGCAAGCCTTCTTTCGCGACGGCGGAGACGACGAAGGCGGTGCACTTGAGAGCATCGACAACAGCTTACTCGCCATCAAAACGATGCGGCGGTTGATCATTGCAGGCTACGAGTTCCCGGGCAGAGATAAGGACGTCCAAGGATTCTGGACACTAACACGTACTCATTTCGGAGAGTTTCTGCAATATGTGATACCAGAAAACTCGCCACTTGCAGTTGAAGTCCAGAAGAAGATAGGCAAGCACTTGATGCAGCTTTCCAAGTTACATCTCAACATGGCTACTACTCATCCAGCAGATTTTGTCCTTTTACCCAACTCAATAGATCTTGCGCGCGACTACTGGAGTCTCATCTCAAGATTGGGTGAGCAGTGGGGCTCAAAGTCTATTGAGGGTGCCAAAGTCGGCACCGATGGCGATGAAGAAGACGAATCGCCCATCATCGAGCGTCTGGGTCTCAAGGGCTTGCTACTAATCCGTGCTTGTGTGAAGATGGTCTTCTACCCTACTCAGACCTTCCGCTTCAAGCATCAGCAAGAAAAGGACGAGAAGAACCAAGCCACGCATATGATCAAAACAGACCTTCTCACTGATGATCTTGTACGTGAAATGATCTCAGCCCTTGTGCAGCGCTTCTTCGTTTTCCGGCCTAGCGACCTCCGTATGTGGGAGGAAGAACCCGATGAGTGGGAGAAGATGGAGGAGGGAGCAGAGGACTGGGAGTTTGCAATCCGACCCTGTGCCGAGAAGCTCTTCCTAGACCTTGCAAAGAATTTCAAAAATTTGATCATTCAACCGCTACTCCAAGTCTTCTATACAGTCGCAAGTGAGTACTCGCTTTCAAAACAAATGGCTCGTTCTGACATTGCACAGCTCCAGAAAACGAGGATATTCTGTTCAAGGACTCCGTATATACCGCTATTGGGCTTGCAGCCGATATACTACACGACCAGGTTGACTTTGATTCGTTCTTGGAGAAAACGCTAGTCGTCGAGGTTGCGAAACAGAAGCCAGGCTACAATATTATCCGCCGTCGCATCGCCATCATCATCTCTCAGTGGATCACTATCAAGATGGCCAAGGAGAAGAAGCCTATCGTATACCAAATCTTCCAGCATCTGCTTGACAAGAGTGATCCGATGAACGACCAAGTGGTTCGGATCACCGCAGGCAGGAAGTTCCATGCTGTCGCCGACGAATGGGAATTCCAAGCTGACGCGTTCTTGCCTTACTCACAACTTATGTTAGATAGATTGATGGCGCTGGTCCAAGAAGTTGAGCTTCCAGAGACGAAGATGGCCCTTCTCAACACGATCAGTCTTGTTGTGTACAGACTGGAGCACCATGTAAGCCAGCAGCATGGACGTAAAGTGCTTGAACTGATATGGATTAGATCACACCGTATGCTAATAGCATCATCGCCCTCCTCCCACCCTTATGGGAGCAGTCTGGCGAGGAGCATCTGATGAAGCAAGCCATCCTCACCCTTCTTGCTCGCCTGACAAATGCAATGAAAGCCGAGTCACGTTCTTTCCATGTTTCCTTCTTGCCCATCATCCAGAGCGCTATTGAGCCTGGTTCAGAGACTCAGGTCTACCTTCTCGAAGATGCGCTCGACCTGTGGGCCTCTATCATCGCACAAACACCGTCAGCTCCGGAACCCACACCACCTGAGCTGCTCAACCTCCTTCCCTACCTGTTGCCTCTCTTCTCCATGGACAATGAAACACTACGAAAAGCCATCGAGATTACGGAAGCCTATCTTCTCCTCGCGCCCGCTGCCGTCCTCGCAGACTCTTTCCGTCCCGCGATTCTTCAGGCCCTCGCGGAGCTACTGGGCAGCTTGAAACCTGAAGCGAACGGTATCATGACACACCTCGTAACCTGCATCATTAGAGGTGCGGACGGCGTAGGTGGCGAGAACGCTGTCAAGGTTCTGACCAGCGATCTGATATCCTCTGGCTTTCTAGCCAAAGTTATGGAGGGCCTTCACGGCGCATGGACACACCACCAATCCCACGGTCCCTACCGTGAGCTTCCTTCTCGTGCGGTCGATGGGGTAGTGGAAACGGATTACTTTACGGTATTAGCTCGTATTGGAGTTGCTTCACCTTCTGTTCTCCTGGAAGCACTCTCCTCACTATCGAGCGAGGGCTTAGAAAAGACTCTGGACTGGTTGCTAGAAGAATGGTTCAGCCACATTGAGAACATTGGCGACGCACCAAACAAAAAGCTTATGTGTCTTGTTCTCACACGCTTCCTCGAAGGAGGACAGCCTTGGATGATGGGCAGGTTGCAGTCGTTGATAGGGATTTGGACGGATGTGCTAGGAGAGTTGCTGGATGGCATGGACGATCGAAGTCAAGAGTACGTGTTTCCTTGCGTTAATTTCTACCAACTTTGCAGACACTGATTCTTCATTCCAGCTCTCTGTTCTGGCCTCCAGAACCTTATCATCCTACAGAACCCGAAGCACCGGAGGATATACGCAAGCGCGAACTCATTTATACTGACCCCGTCCATCAGATCAACCTTGTTGCATTTGTCAGAGAGCATCTTCAGCAAGCTATACAGCAAGTAGGCGGAGAACAAGCCTTCCAGGAAGAATGGCTCAGCCGTGTGGATAAGGAGATTCTCAAAGGTTTCGGAGAGTTGGGCATTATGTAAGAAGAGGGCTCAGAAAAATGAGTAGCATCTGGAAGAAGAAATATAAAGACTAAGCAAAGAAGCAGAGGTGGAATGCTAGTAGCTGTCCACGCGTTTCTAAATTCAGTGCAATCTAGTACTAGCCTTGTTGCCCTCTGAGACTGCTCTTTGCCTTGCATATCTCACGCCAACTCACCACCTCTTCAGTGGCCCGGGTCTTTCTATCTATCTTCTTGTCCCGTGCGCTTAAAGATCCCCAAACCATCTTTCGTGTGCCCTCCCCAGCAAAATACAGCACGCCTCCCCACCCGTCTGACAACACAGTTGTATGTGCATATACAACTCCAAGACACTGAGTAGCTAGCCCATTGCTAGCGGTAAGATGCTACCCTCGCACCATTTTGAATGTATCTTGCCGATACTATTTGGACAGGAAAGGATCGCGTCATTTGTATAAGAGAAGGACTTGGTATATCTGTTTCGACAAGTCAACAGGAATTTTCAAGGCCGCATTACGTCCGGGGGCGTATCATGTGCGTCAGCAATTGATGGTTTAATCGCTAGCCTCACTCACACCGGGAAGGTCTCTGCTCCTTCTGCTCGGCGCAAAAACTCCCACATCGCTCGCACGACTGCAAGACCACTGCCTTGTGTCTCGATTGTGCGGCCGCGGCCACGGCCGTTGAGATCGCCCCCACTCCTCCTTGTGATTTCATTCTCAACGTCTTCGTTGAAGATGGACCACTCAGAGGGCTCTTGGAACTCGCCTTCCATGTACATGCCATCATCGGGCTGCGTATGCATGTTACGGTAGTCTGTTGCATTCTGTGGGAGGGAAGGGCGTCCGTCAGAAGCAGTTGCTTTGCGATGGTGCGAGGAGAATGGAAACGGTGTCTGTGGAGCGCCCCACCATGATCCGAATCTTCCTGCTTCATCACGCGTCTGAAGGGCGGCTTGGGCGTTGTGTGTCACCCAGGTAGTGTATTCTCTACAGCTGTTCGCGTGTAACATGGCCGTCTCTCGTGTCGCTGCGTGTGTTTTCCCTGGTCTAGTCGG